AAATTTTGCTTATTGTACAACCATCCATGCAGTATGAGCATTCCAGTGTTTATAATGAAACAATCATAATAGCTAGATATTTGACAAATCACCCATTTGCCTATAGAACTACATGAATGTGGCAACACTATTATTCTGTTCTTTATAACTTAATTGCTTGGACAAAAATGGGAAAGTACAAAACATGGACCCCCGGTCCATGGACCCCTTGTCTGGACCGGGTCCATGGACCCCCTCTATGGACCGGGTCCATGCATGGACCCCCTCCATGGGCCGCATTTTTCCAAATTTCAATATTACTGTTAAACATGATTCGAGTTTTCAATTTTTAAAAATATTTTAGTGGTTTTAAAGCATACTTTTGTTCTTAGCAGCAAACCTCATCTACACTCCAGTGTTTTCTTCATACTAAAGCGAGGCTTGCTAATGACATATCATGACAAATCAATGCACCATGTGAATAATAATAGTGTTACTGACTTGCAAAGCCGTTCAATGATCACAGCCTATGAAATTAAAGAAACCACTGCCAGCAAAGTGTTGAAATAATAAACCACTTTCATTCATGATTGTGCATCTTAATTAGCCTTCTTGGTTCAATATACAAAAAAGTGTTTCAATTTGTCTCTTATGAAAGTGATCTAAAGGCACTGTTCATAATCAGCAATTTGACTTGCTTCAATTCCCTAATACATTTTTGTGAGCTGTGCACTAGCTAGCTGGATGTATTTGTTATTTGGAACAAATTAATAGAACATTTTGACCTTGCAAGTAAATTTAATTGTTTTCTCCCTGTACAGGGTTATTTATATTCAGGTGTATTCAAAATTCCTGATAACATTATTCATAGATGGGGCCATTGAAGAATCGCAGGTCCATGGACCCGGTCCATAAAGGGGGTCCATGGACCCGGTCCAGACAAGGGGTCCATGGACCGGGGGTCCATGTTTTGTACTTTCCCGACAAAAATGTATGAAAACAGTAAATTTAGTGCGCCACAATCCCTAGCAGTATCCCTAGCAGTATTCCTAGCAGTATTCCTAGCAATATCCCTATCCCAGTGGTTCTGCATCATCAGTTCACAATTTTATTTTAAGTCCAACAGGTGGGTTTCACTTAAAATTATCCCTTTCAAAAGCATTGTAATACTTTATGAAATACAAAATTTCTATATTTATTTTATGTGGCCTAAATAACAACGCTGTTTCCAAGCAGCATATCTGTTTAGTGTCAAGATTTTGTGTTATAAATATTACATGTAAATCGACTATGAAATATTCTAGCAGTATTAAGTATATAAACTATATTTTTATCAACATACCATGCGAGGTGAACAAAATCCGCATTAAAATCACTTCAAATATTGTACAACTGAACAAGTCACACGACAAGAGAAACAATATTATTTGCTTGATTGTATTTAAAAATAAATAATCCATATTTTCACGACATTTTAGAGAAATACCATAATTAGTGCAGAAAATTTCCAATTCGTTATATTATAAATTCGTCCGTTTGTTTATATTCGCATATTTCCATATTTCACGCTGACAATACGTCAGACTCCGTGTTTTCCATATGACTCCGTGTTTTCCATATTTTTCTCTGACGTCAGACTCCGGGACTCCGACTCCGGCACTCCGACTCCGGGGCTCCGACTCCGGAACTCCGACTCCGTGTTTTCCATCTAACCGTACGAGGTTGAGTGATGAGATGTAGATGAGATGTAAACATCGCATTGTTTTGAATATTTCAACTTGAACTTCCGGTCAAAGCTCTCGCGTAAAATTTAGATACTTTGAAATACCGTAATAGAAGATGCAGATACAAGCTTGAAAATAACACTCTAAATAGTGTGTTGGATTGTGTTTCGAACAAGACTAATACCAAGAAGATACGTTGAAAGGGGCCGAAGTTATATTCGGCGAAAGGTATGGCTTAGTGATTCATTTCTTTAAAACTGTGGCAATCGATACACCAGGCGGAAATCTTAGTTTAAAGATAAAGAGCAGAGCCCAGCAAAAAACTTTAAAGCCAAACATATAGAATCTTTCAAGCGGATTTTTGGTGGTATTTTCGTATTTCTACTGCAAATACTCGCGGAGTTCTGTAATATTTAATCTTCTTGTCATATATTCTCCAGAAATCAAGTAACACGGATCGATATGAGCATAGACAATCAAAGAAATTTGATTGGTTTACATATATTGTTAATATTTTTTGAATTATTTCGTTATTAAATATTATAACGGCTAAATATTCTTATATTCCGTATAAATATTCAAAATATATAGACCATTCAGAGATTGGGCCGTCTGTGGTTCAGTGTCCTCACAGGCATAGCACACTGTATAAACCGCCTGATTTTCGTGTGATTCCACTAGTTGTTGGGATTTTCAATCTACTAAAGCTTTTCAGGATGTATTATAAATAATACATACAATACTTCACACGCTATGAGGCGTTCACAAATTATATATAAAGTTTGGACGCTGTATATAAATACCAGAGAATCTTCGAACGCGATACTAATAGGGCGCCCTCAAAGGTTGGCTGAGCGGGAGGTTTAGTCTGTTTATATTTATGTTGCGTACAGCTATAAATTATTGTTGAAAAATTGAAACCATTACCTTGGCAAACGTGGACAATCTACAAAGAACTTCTTTCTGGTGATAGTATCTGCAACTCTGCACGTTTATAAATACAATATGTTTACAATATAAGCACGTGAAATAATCGTGTTAAAACCGTCTCTACTCTGTGTTTGAAAACGTCATGTGGAGAATACAAGTTTTGGCTACTGCTAAAAACCCGGCCGGATACAGCGATACAACGACACAGTGATACCAGGAACCGTAACCTGGAACCGAAACTGGAACCGTGCAAATTTATGCCAATTAGAGCATTTTGCAGCACAGGAGATACACATAATAAGGGGGGGGGGGCGCAATTCAATGATAGTATAAAATATTATATGCAATGCAAGGCATTTTGATTTTTAAACAAAACAAAGAATGAACATCGTTATAGCACTATATATTACGAAGTAATTATTAAATGAATTTTTTACATTGAAGTTAATATACCTTCATATAATATAAACTTCATTTATGTTTGTGATTGAATGATTGATGTTCAAGCGGATATTTTTAGCATGCAGCATATTTATTTTATTTATTTATATTCGTATAAATATTCGCAGTGTATATGAGCATATTCAATGTTAACCTGAAGTTCAGGCCCTAATTTGAAATAGGGCCTGACACAAAACCTGTCTAGACCGTGAGACGCCCACATGTTATTTTTAGACACACATGCAATATGATTGACAAGTGTTGTAGATTTCGTTACACAAAAAAATTATATTCTCATGAACATGTCCGCAGAGCATTTTGCTTTTTAATTAAACTTAAAAATTCAAGGTACTTTTATATAATTAAGAGTCAGTTTCTCTATTTAACCGAACAGGCGAACAGCAAACAAAGATTTAATTAGTCAGTTCTGTGCACGGCTTGACTGCCAAGCTTTCTCAAGGTCTCAACTTGCTGGACGCGGATATACTCTAACGACTAACGGGCTAATAACAGCAACAATTAAATTCTCAATCATACCACGAAGCAGGCGATGTAGCTCAGAAAACAACGCCGGTAGGACCTGATATTAAAAATAAGACTTTTGCCGGCGAAGCAAGTTAGCAGAACATCTTGGCTGTCAACAACAAGCTTTCGAATACAGGACTAGTTTGGCTGTTCTTTCAGCGTCGTGTGTGTCCAAAATTCGTCAAAGATTTTGATGAAGCCCTTTCAAAATACTGTTTGTTTGATTTATTTTCTTCCATAAAGCATAAAAGAAAAGAAATTCGAAGAAATCGATAATGGAATTTGTTATGTGTTAATTCTCGCCTTGACCGAGCTATTTTTAAAACTGTTGTTTATGTGAACTTGCAACCAATCAAAATCCTTCATGATGCTGATCAACCAATCAGATTTCCCGTCCACCAGGTGGACGGGAATCCCACACTTTAGATAGGTTTTGTGTCAGGCCCTATTCTGTGATAGGGCCTGAACTTCAGGTTAATTCAATGTTGGATTGCATCATACACTACACCACACTACACTCTACTACTTAATTTAGCCGCGCACAATTGCTGCTCAATTCAGCGCAACTGATCTGCTTTGCATGCCGTGGTTCCTTCTCTGTCTGCTGGGATTTCATAATCAAGTGCGGCGGCTAAATAAACTAAGTGCGTCACGTGCAGTTATATCAAAACAGACAAGAACTGGCCGCGCAATTAAGAAACATGTTTTATGACTATGTGGTGCTACAACGATGTTCATTCTTTGTTTTGTTTAATTTAAAAATCGAAATGCCTTGCATATAATATTTTATACTATCATTGAATTGCGCCCCCCCCCCCTGTAAATTATTATTATGTATATCTCCTGTGGTGCAAAATGCTCTAATTTGCATAAATTATGCACGGTTCCTGTTCCAGGTTCCATTTCCTGTATCGCTTTTTAGTAGTGTTTTCCCGGGGAAATTACTGAAGGGCCGGGGAAAATTCTCAATATATTCCCGATCCTAGTTCGCGTTATCGATTTTCCATCTTCATATTTGGCAGAAATGGACCACAGAATTGAAATGCTTAAATTAGTTCATACCGAAAATGTCATGATAGATGTACATTCAGGGCGCAAGTTCCGGCGTTTTGAAAATTTTGTTTCTCCCACTAAAATCAGTTCCGCTGCATTAAAACTGCTATTTTGAATTAAAGCAATAAAGTTAGTTATTAAATTAAAGAGTTTATAATTAAAAACAACCCATGTAAAACTTTGTAAAGACATTGCGGAACTGTTTGTCTTGAAGTATTCTGTAATAGAGCGGCAGTGACTACCCCCTGCCCTTCCTTGGTTAAAATTAAAGAAAAAAGAATGAATGACTTGTCAACTATTTTTCGAATCGGTCTACCTGTACAGGGTGAGTAAAAAAAGACTGATACTGTTGGGTTTTGTACCGTTGCCATCGCTCTTTCTCGAATACGAAGCACAACATACAACTTTGGAGTTTTACAAAAGAATGTATTTAATAATAAAAATCACACATATATATACAAGATTATATCTATAATAAGTATTTTGACATATCACATTCTATTACCATAAATGGTATACAGTTTGGTACATGGAGCAACTATTTGTACTGGAATTTGTGGTATCCAGAGATTACATTTTACATACATATCTATAGTAATCAATGTCATTCATTAACTAATAATCTTATTATCATTGTCAACAGAATATCAGGAGCATATTCTAACAGATACCTTTGATATTCAAATTAGCCGCATAGATGTCAGTTTTTTTTACTCACCCTGTATACGCCAACAATCAACATATTTTGTAACCTGAGGCGTGGAGTATATGGAATGGAATGCATTTTAGCACTTGACACAGGGAAACCACTTTTTAATAATTCCGAAAGGAGTGACGCAGATGGCTATTCATATAAATTAATACAACATGCAGTTAATAGACTAATAGTCTCACTTAATAGCTGTGATTATACATAGAAATATCAATTAATCAAATACCTTTTGAATTCGTAGTTCAAAGACAAACAGGAAAAGTACAAGGTTCAAAATTGTCCAAGCGTGCACGTGGCCCACTAGCACACAAGGGGCAGGTATTTTTCGAGTTAAGCCCTTCGAGTTATAAAAGGCACAGTTCAGCCTTTTGAATGATGGTTTCTAAGGCGCATTTCAGCCCTTTTAATCGAAAAAACTAACTAGCAAAATCAATTAAGCATCATTCAAGATCACCGAACGCTGAACTGTTAAGTTCTTTTCTTTAAGCTCCTGCCACGCCCCTTTTCGCCGGGGGCTTAACTCGAAGTCAATTAACGATTTAAGCATTCGAGTTAAGCCCCGATATTTAGTGGATGTAAACAAGTGACGCGCCTATACTCGCAACTGATATTGGCGAATAAGGATCGAGGGAGAATGTAAAATTTCAGCAATTTTAAGAAACATATTTTACTAAGATCTCTGTTGCTTTGCCTACAGTTTTATACAGACAATGATATCGTGAAATGAGATACCCTAATTACCACATGGTACAGACCGCCAAGCGATTTAATCAGCACTCTATATAAATTTGAGAGTTGTTTAAAATTAATTGATAACGAAGACAAAGAAAGTATTATCTTAGGGGATATTAATTGTGATCTCTTAGACAACAATCCCACGTCACTATAGTATCAGAATTGAAATTTATTACAAATCTATATCAATACGAACAATTGATAAAAGAGCCTACTAGGGTTACAAAAAATACTTCATCCCCTATAGATCATTTTTATACAACAAACACCAATCACATTATTTCTAGTGGTGTGACAGCTATCCATAGATATCTTATATACACTAGATAGCGCATCTCTTTTAGTAAAATTGAAGCCAAGAATATTCCAGCGGTTACCCCCATTTGAATAGATGGCGGCCATGTTGGAGTTTCCCACTCGCTAATAAACGCTTAAAAAACAATAATAACTTTCATCATTTGAATAGTTTGAAAATGTATTTGGAATAGGTTTAACTTAATGTTTAATTAAGTTCCCTGTTTAAGAAATAAAAAACATACGAGTCTTCTCATTTCATGGGAATATCCTGAGTCTGCAATCACGGCTTCAATTTTTGAATTGCATTATTATTAGATGCACTATCTAGTGTATATACAATACAACTTTATTTGAATAATACACATGACAAAATACAAGATTCAAATCCTGCAATAGCAAGCTAATCGTGGCAGGAAATGAATCTAATTAAATAATATTATATATATACAACTGATTTATATTGAGAAGAAGTAAAATGAATTATTTACAGAACGAGAGTTTAGATTCCGATTGGCTATGATAATTTTTAAATGAAAAATATTATTCATAACACAAATACATTCTTTTTGAAAGCAATTAGAAAGTTATGATGAGCTGAAAATTATATCGCGGTTACATTGGGCAGCATTTCAATTATCATGGGTACGTCAACATAGTCATTTTGATCTTGAAGTATGGTTAAAAGAGCTTGATGTATTTTAGATTTAAAAGTCTGTTTACGAGATGAGCGAAGATTGAGATCAATGCTATTCCAAATTAAAGTACAGACTCTGGAAAATGAACGCTTTTGTAATTCCAGACGAGAAGAATGGATATATAAGTTATCTTTTGAAACCATTCTTGTATCATAGTTATGATAATTAGACGTTTTGGTAAATAATTTATGCAGTGCTTCAGGCGCATCCCCTTTTAATATATCGTAGAGCATGTAAGCAGATTCTTTAACATAGATCATAGTTACAGGAAGAATGTAGGTAGAAAGGAATAGAGGAATTGCGTGATCTTGAAAAGATTTAAAATTCATGAGTCGTAATGCACGCTTTTGTAAAACAAGAAGTTTTTGAATATGAACTTTAGCAGCATTTCCCCAAGCAACTACACCATATGTTAAATATGGTGAAATCAATGACCTATAAATATCTAACAAGGTATGATTCGGGATGTAATATCTCAATTTAGAAATGATTCCTACAGGTTTGCTAATCTTTAATGTAATATAATTTATGTGATGCTTCCAGTTCAAGTTACAGTCAATAATAATTCCAAGGTACTTAACATATTCTTTGCATTCAAGTGGTGTATATTGTTTGGTATCATTATCAAACATTTTAATTACAGGCTGGAAATTCAATGACTTCTGATATGGTCGAAAAATTACAAAATTTGATTTACTTATATTAAGGGTGAGTTTGTTTATTGCAAGCCATTCACAGACTTTCTTTAATTCAGCATTGACAACTGTTTCAAGCATTTTTAGGTCTCTATCAGCGTACAATAAGTTAGTATCATCAGCAAAAAGAAAGAATTTGAAAATCTCAGAAAATCTCAAATCTCACCTTGACATTTTGGTTACCAAGTTGGCCTTTTTAGGAATACGAAGGTCATTATTGCTTTGAATATGTAGTTTTTTTGTCAAATTGCAAACAACGAGTTAAGCGAACGCCGGTGTACCACAAGGCACTAAACTGGGCCCTCTGTTTCTCGTTATGATCAACGATCTTGTCCTACCAACATGTGATTATTGGAAATATGTAGCCGACGATCTTACTGCTTCGGAGGTTATAGCCAAATACGGCAGTTCAACAATCTTGATTATATATCCTCTTGGTCGTCTGCTAATTACATGAAATTAAACGCGAAGAAATGTAAAGAGCTAAGGGTTTGTTTCTTCCGTGATACGCCTGTTTTGGAACTAATAACTATTGATGGAATACCAATAGATGTTGTTGATTGCCATAAGGTTCTTGGTACTGTATTAAATAGTTCGCTGAAATGGACGGATCATGTTAATATGATTACAAAGAAGGCAGCAAAGCGTCTTTACATTATGTGTACCTTAAAGAGAAGTGGTATGACTACCGATGATTTGTTAACAATTTATATTGCACTTATTCGTTCGGTTTTGGAGTACTGTTGCCCAGTTTGGCACACTAACCTACCATCCTATCTCAGCGAGCAAATTGAACGTTTACAGAAGAGAGTTTTGAGAATAATCTTCCCACGTTTATCATACAGAGAGGCATTGCCTGCTGCAGATTGTGTACGGCTGTCGGCTGGATGATAACAGACAACGTTTATGCTTTATTTTTATTTAATGATTTGCCCATGTGATATACCATTATGTTACATAAAAAGTAAATAAAATAAAGTAGAAACATTTGGGCTAGGAGTCTATAGAAACCTTGAACATGCTTTTGATTTAGACCCCTAGTTTAAAGTCTTGGTGCTAACATATATATATAGTTCAATTGTCATCGGTTCTAAGTATTTACAAAAAGTGAGGTTATGTTACATTCAATATTTGTAGGAGAGTATTTACTTTTATTAATTTAAATGAGAAGCTTGAGTTAAATATCTATAATCTTTTCCAAAAGATCAATTCAAACGGCGATAATAAACTCAATCCGCTCATACCTAATTCTAGGCTCAGCGAACAAAGTCGGCCACTTCGTAACTCTGATAGTTTTTCAATTTTTAAATGTAGTACGGACCGATTTAAGCGCAGTTTTTTCCCAGCGCTAACTCAATATTCTAACCAACAATATCTAGTCAATTATAATAGACGTTTATAACTTGTCTTAATATTTAATGTATGTAAGACAAATAGTATATATACAAATAGCCAATATTCTAACAATATCTAGTCAACGTAACTATAATAGTTTACAACTTGTCTTAATATTTAATGTATGTAGGACAAATAGCGGTATACTTAAAGTTTCCTATTATGTAAATATAAAGTATTTCACCTTGGTGCAATTTTATATATTTAATAAACCTTTAATAATATATAACTGAAAAACATTTCAAACAAACTGGAGATTGGCAACCGGATTGAATAAATGAAAAAACGCGGAGCATTTATTTCACTTAAAGACCGTAAAGAAAATTTCGAAAATAACCAAAATGCCGACTAATTAATCCTGCTAAAAGTGAATCTGGAAAACTAAGTAAAGTAATTCTTGACAAAATAAATTCTAATTTGTGAGACGTAAATTATCAATGGAGATTGGAGAAACACGCAAAAAGTAATTGAATGGTTTGGCAACATAAAGGAAAAACACATGCATTTCTGAATACAATAAACTTATTTGAGCGCAATAGCTTTTATTAATGGTTCAAGCACGTTAGGTGAAAGAACAGCCCGAAAATAAGTAAAACACACACCAAATCATTGTGGGAGAATGGGTTCAGGCTGAAGTGAACCAATTATATACATTATACTCTCAAACTCCGGTCAACCCAAAGACTCATTAAGGCTTATGTTTTCATCCCGCAGGGGTACATAAAAGACCTGCTAGGATCGAGAGACTGAATGCCCTAGGGGTGATAATCCCTGATAGGGTCCTGCCAGACTGGTAGCGACCCCTTCTGACATAGACCTGAACCAAGGGGTGATAATCCCCTTCGACAGTACCTATACGATTCGACTGGTTATATTTACATAAATAACCTGAGTCTGTGGGCCTGAAGTTGACCATTGGGAACACTTCAACCCCGAACCAAAATTTATTTGTTTCAACATAAACCAATTTTTAAATTATCGCTATGTAAATACTTAAACGTATTTACATAGCGATAATTTTCCATGAGAAAATTGTTTGATGTCATTCTTGCCAAATTGTTCTTGATAGTCCCCGCATAACATTAGTTAGTACCCATACAATGCACCAGATACCAGGAACATGAACGGGTGGGTGGGTGGAAATTTTCTTTCTCGGTAACAAGACATTGCTCTTTGTTTGGATATTTGTCAAAGTGAACTTCCTTATCACATTGACCTTTGTTCTGCGTGTTCGTTGTTGACATATGATAGGGGTGATAATCCCCGATAGGGCCCTGCCAGACTGGTAGCGACCCATTCTGACATACATAGGGTGATAATCCCCTTGGACAGTACGTATTCGACTGGTTATATTTACATAAATAACCTGAATCTATGGGCCTGAAGTTGACCATTGGGAACACTTCAACCTCACAAATACACAGCATGTGTATTCCCCATAGACGAATTCCCACCACAAGCTGTATTCTTTTTTTTTTGTATACAAGACAGCTGCTGCCAGATGATAGTTAGACATATATTTGAGCGTTACCATCACTCATACTATAGCTGGATAGTCAGTTATTTGTGGTATCCCTCAGGGTTCAATTTTAGGGTCTTTGCTATTTCTAATTTATATTAACGATTATACTGAGCTTATTGATAAATTAAATTCTGACCTACAACAAATCAGTGATTGGCTCGTCAGTAACAAACTACAGCACCACCCTACTAAAACTAAGTACATGATCATAGGATCGTCATATAACCTAACCAATAAAGTTCACGACTATCCTGTGTTCTTGAACAACGAACATCTTTGTAGAACTAGCTCTTTCGAATGTCTGGGTGTATTACTAGATCGAAATGTTGCGAAGGGCTAAAAATTTAATTCCAGTAAGCTCACTCCAAATGATTTATAATGCCTTGATTCAACCTTATTTTGATTACTGTTGTCCACTATGCCGGGACACAGTGCCTTTTTTAACTATATATCTGGGGGGAGGGGCAATTGCCCCCCCGGGGAAAGAATTTCCCCCCCCCCCCAGTAAAGCCATTTCTGCCCCCGAAGTGCGAAGCAGAATTGCTAATGATTGCTGTCAGAATTGCAGTTGATTTACTTGATAATGAGATTATGCCCTTCCATAGCCTCCTCCACAGCCATCTTGTGTGTAATTCATATTGTTCTTCACCGAGTATTTCATAATAGCGATAGATTTCATGCAAACAATCCGACTAAAATGCTAGACTTTCCAAGCCTTGCGACTATTTCCTAGCACTTTTTCCTGTGTTTTGTTTTGGGAGGTTTTATTGCAATTTTTTCTTCTTAAAAATATCAAGTTATATTAAGAGCCCCCCCCCCCCAATCTCCACAAAAACCATTCTCTCAGAAAGGCTAAATCCGTAGAGAAATTGGGGGAGGGGGGTACACGTTACATGCTCGAAGCTGAAACTGATTAAGTACGTCTCGACTGAGGAAAAAGACGATATACTGGAGGAACTTGATTTGTAAAATCTCGTTAAAGCAGTTGTAGATATGGTTCCAAGAAGAATAGATTTAGTTTAGATTTTTAACTGTTATGTATGCATCATCATAGCATGAATATTTCTTCTCAGGCTTATTCTGTATCGTATGAAAAAGCAGCTCGCGGAATGCGGAAATGGTATCTCATAGAACCTAAAATGATTTAAATGCAACATTTCTGATCAAAATCACGTTGGGATTTTCTCCCCCCCCCCCCCCCCCCCCCC